TGAACATATGGCTTGCTTTTAAGTCTCAGCGCCTTTGTGCTGTTTCCTTAGCCTGGATTTCCATTCTGAACCTAATGTTTGTCCTTAAAGCCCAGCTCAAATGTGGCCTCCTATGTTAAACATCACAGAGGCTTCTCTTCTATCTTTTCCATCTTCCTTTCCATCTCACAAATTAGAGTTAGTCATTTAAAAATTTTTGTATTTGGGCTGGGCAATGAGCTACTTGAAAGAAACTGTAGTGGATGTGTTGTTCATTATCTATTCCTGAGTAACAAAATTGCCCCCAAACTTATTGGCTTAAAACAACAATAAACATTTATTATCCCATAATCTCACAGTTTCTTTAGTTTAGGAATTCAGAAGCAGCTTAGCTGAGTAAGTTCAGGCTCAAGTCTCTCATGAAATCGCAGCCAAGGTATAGGTCAGGGCTGCAGTCATCTGAAGGCTTGCCTGGGGCTGGAAAAATTTACTTTAAAGATGGCATACTCAATTGACTAGCAAGATGGTACTAGCTGTTGGTAGAAGGCCTTAGTTCCTCTTCAGGCGGACTCCTCATAGGGCTGCTTGAGCATCCTCACAATATAGTGGCTGGCTTCTTTCAGAGCAGGTAATTCAAAAGAGAGCAAGGTGAAAACTGCAATGTCTTTTATGACCTAGCCTTGAAGGTCCCACACCATCACTTATGCAGGATTCTATTGGTCACACAGGCCAACCATGATATAATACAGGAAAAGATTATGCAAAGATGTAAATACCAGAAGTGAGGATCATTTTGAGGCTGGCAACCACAGTGAATATCTGTTATGTCTATCGACCTCTCCTTTCTTTGTGTGTTGCGGGGGAAACACATTTTATGTTGTACAACTAGGGTACAACACCTTCTTCATCTGATGAGGAAGGGGATAATCTTGGCCTGGCCAATCTGAATACTCCATTCCCATGGTAAGTGGTCAGTTGAAGGGCATGTGATCAACTAGGGCCAGTTAGGATCTTCCTTGATTTTAGATGCATGGATTCTGAGGGATAGAGGGTTTCTATTCCTCTGCTGTTTTGAGCTCTAGAATGATCTAAGCTGGAGCTTCTTACAGCCATTTGTTCAGGTCATATTGAAGGAAGCTATCTTTAGTAAGAGAAAATGAGGCCAGCATACAGAGAGACAAAGATGAGCAGAGATGAAAAAAGTAAAGGGAGTCTCGATGAAATAATTTGAGCCCCCTTAATCCAGCCATGACTGACATTTACATCAGACTTTTCAGTTACATGAATCAATAAATTTCTTTTTTTGTTTAAGCTGATTTAAGTTGCATTTCTACCCCCTGCAACCAAAACAGCTCCAACAAATCAGCAGGGTTCATATTTTATTATTCTTGAATTTCCAACATTGGGTTCAATTCCTAGTACTCAATTCAAGTTTGATAAGTAAATTAATTACTTATTATGTTTTAGATAAAAACAATCCAATAGATGTACGCATTAGAGATTTTAAAAAAGAATTGGCAACTTGCCAAGTAAGTAAGTTACAAGAACCCTAAAAATCCTAGACTCTGGTAAAGTTTGGTGATCTGGCAGCCATTTTGTTAGTCCGCAGCACTCATGGTTGGTCTCCAGCAGTTCTGTGTGATATGGTTGAGTGAATGTTTTACCAGGATCCTCAGTACATGCAACGCTAGCTTGAGAAAAGAGGACTGCTCCAGATGCATGCCATGTTGCCTCGGTGACAGGGAAATGGGGAAAGGCACTGGCTGGACCTCCAAACACCCACTTATACAATATGTGGGTAAAATAATGTTGCAGGAGTGAAAGTGAGGAAATGGGTAAAGGACGTCCATAGAAAGCTGGCTGTGGGTAGGTGGTTTCTGTCCCCTCCAAGAACCATGCCCAGAGAGGAACTTTCAACAAAAAGGTGCAAGGTCAGAATTATAGTGGCAGATAAAGAGGTCACCGAATATCTGCGCTAATAATCAGATTATTGCAACTCTTGCCCCAGCTGAGGGATTGAAAGGAACAGAAAAATACAGCTTTATGAAGGACAATTTTGCTGTGGCTTAGATCAGACACCTCACATATGTGAGCAGTTGTTCTAGTATAGAATAATATAGAGAGATATAAGAGAAACGAAGTCAAAAATGGGAAAGAAAGAAGCAGCTCGGCTGCTGCCTGCCTTTCTCTTTAAAGCCTTCTAATACTTGGCAGCTTTGTTGCGTCTAGGAAAACTGTTATACACATCATCAACCAAGTGACAGGTCTTTATTTTTAATTCATCACAGAAGCCCTGCTGCCCAAATGATGCCTGACAGAAAAATCTCTTGTTGGTAAGGGCCTTTTCTCAAGCCAAGGAAAACCTCAGAATTCCTTAGTTTTCCCCTGGGCTCTAATAGCAAGTTCAGTTTTCTTTAACTCTATAAACTCCTGTGGCTCCTGGTCACATACTGACTGCTGTTTTCCAGAAAGGAAACTCTGGTGTCCATAACAGTAAGAGCTTGGATTCTGAGTCAGATTCCCCACTTACTCGATCTAGGACAAGTCACACTTTGTGCCTCAGTTTCCTCATCAGCAAAATGGGGTTAATAATATGATAATATTATCTCTTCATAGAGTTGTGGCACGTGTTAAATGAACATGTATATTCATATATATACACAGAGAAAGAGAGAGTGCTTAGAACAGTGCCTGACACATAGTAAACCACATGATAAGCTATAGACAAAACCATATTTCTCTATAAACCTTCCTTGAGTCTTTGTCATTGTATGTAATTATTTTTCTATTTGGCCTTCGCTTTTTTCCTTCAATACATCTCATCATTACTATTTGTGGATGAAATGTTGTTAATTGGCCTAAGCCAGTTCAATGGTTCATGACTGCCAGCTTGGTAGGGCCTCTGTCAGTTTGTGTCCTTAGAACCTGGGCCTTCTCATGTGCAAATGCTGATTAGCAAATAAGTATGTGTCAGGCAAATTGTCCTTGTCAGCTCCATGAGCTCAAGGCTCCCAACTGGAATCTTTTGCGAAATGTTCATTGAGCAGAATGCCACAATTTCTAGCCATACTTCTCATCAAATCAGGTGACAGAATCCTACATTAAGTGGTAGGCACAGGACTAGACACTCAGGTCTAGAACACTGTTCTAGGCTCACCCAAAACTTATTCTTAGTTCATTTAAAGGCAAAGTGCTTGTGTGGTACACATTTGTCAAAATCCACACGTTTCACCAGTGAAAAGTTATTTCTAACATCTCTTATGCTAAAAATAAATCCCCTTATGAAGCTGAAGAAACAAATAGTTGAAGGAGCTGTAGTAGGCACAGACTCCAGGTCCAAGGTCCTGATTAGGGTCTTTCGGTGCTCATATAGCACCCTCTGAGTGTGTGCTCCCCATTAGAGCATATCAAAGTTCATTAACAACTCCTGAGTGAATATTAAAACTAACTTTTAAAGTACATACATATATCTAACTGTCTAAGCTGAAGTATTTAAATTGGGACAATAATTACCTAAGGTTGGTGAAATCCTCAGAATGTAATTTGATCTTTGGTTTTTTAGGTGTTAGCCTACCTATTGCCTCCGATTTTTGAAGCTATTCATAGATTCTTCATCAAAAACGAAAAATTAGAATAATATCAACTGATGAAAATGCTCTCTTTGCAAGGAAGCTCTTAATTTTATAATCACTGTAAAAAGTGTTTTCAGACGTGGGTGGGTCGGAAGTGATTCTACATGTGACTCAGGCACATCAGAGGCGACACTAACTAGAGCTCTTTAATACCAGGATTATCAGTGGGAAACAGTCCTCAAAGAAGTGGATTTTTCATGAAGCAAGTGGAATTTCGGAACTTAAATATCAATGTATTTACACAGAAGATCTTTTTAAGTTTTGTTGTCTATAGAAAACAATTTCGGTTTACGGTATAAAAGCTGTGCAGCCAAAACAGAATAGAGTTTATTGACATGTTTATTTAGAACACAATTCACCCCTTTATTTTTGAAATTGAACTAAAAGTAGGTCACAGAAGGCAAAATATTAAAAGAAAATATAGGTATTTATTTTCAGTGTCCTTGATGGTATATAAGTGTGGCTCTAGTTAATTGCACAGAGGGCAACAAGGGGGACACAGATTTTCTGCAGGATAAGAAAGAGACAGCAAAAGGGAAGAAAGTTTAAGAAAGGCAGTTGCCAGAAAGTGGCTTTGTCTAATTTGAAGTGGAGGGTGTATGACTAAAAACCAGAACAGAACTGTTTTGGTTTTGTTTTTCTGTTGTGTTGTTACTGAGGTATAGCAATTTACTGGGGTGTAGGCATGAAACTGCTTCACTGCTCGCAGCCTCCGAGGGTGGAATCCCTGGGCAATGGGCATCCTTAATATCTTAATGATGTCTCTATCCAGTTCAACTCCCCAATTCTACTTCTAATGCTCAGTCCTGTTCATTTTTAAACTTTAATCTCAAAAACAAGACAACGCTAAACTTCGATGTCAATCTAGTTGGCGTGGGACTGGGAGTTTGTCTGCTCTTCCACCCCGATCTCCTCCCCCTTTGCTAGAAAGGACAAACCTAGGTTAAGAGGATAGACTGAGAAGCAGGATCTCCTTACTCGACTCCTCCAGACCAGGGAGCCATGGCTGCTACCACCAAGGATGCTGCTGCCTCTCTAATGCCAATAGATTTTCTTCCCCCTTCGTAGCTGTTTATGTCCCCAGGTCGCATGTCCTGGGTCACAAGTTTCCAGGTCACATATCCTGGATCACAGTTACTTGATATGATGTCTGGCTCAGGCTGAGCTCTTCTCTCTCTCGGCCCAGGACTCCTCGTACTCAAGGGGTCCTCCTGGGTGTGGTGCCGGCAAGATGGCTTAAGCTCAGCTACTTTGTGTACTCCACTGACTGGAAATTCTATCCCTGCAAAGCAAATGGTGGAAATGCAGTCTGGGGCCTCATTAAGAGTGAATTAGAGCGCGTTATAGGAGACAAGAGAAACAATAGAAAACATTCTGTAATTAACTCAAAAGGTTTGCAGTGTTCCTGGAAGTAATGCAATTCCAAGCTGAGGCAGAGAGTGGATAGAGTGAGCTCCGGAACCATCTCCTAATTCTAACCATTAATTTAATAGCCAATACACAGCTGAAGAACATGTCAGACACTTTAACTGGTAAGAACAGATACCACATTTGATTTTAGCCAATAGGTAGAGGAAGGATAAAGGTCCACTTAAGCCACACAGCCCCCCTTTCACACCTGAGGTGGAGGCTAACACCTCCAGCGTCCTTATATCTCTCTGGTATTCTGAATTTTTCCCTGATATTGCTCTGACCTGATATAATACTCCTGAGGAAACATCTTTCTCACTGAAAATGATTAATTTTGATGTCTTCTTCCTGAGGCCTGATCCAAATACCTCCTTTGCGTAGTCACACTTACTAAACTTAATTGATCAGCTCCTTCCTTCCAGCTCCTGTATTTTCTGTACCCTTTTAGGAGTCAGAGACAACTGTGGAACTGAAGTAAACAAACTATTTTTCAAAATTTTTTATTATGGAAATTTTCAAACATAAACAAAAGTAGAAAGAATAATATGATAAACTGGCATGTACTCACCACCCAGCTCAACAATTACCAACTTATGCCCAATCTATGCCCCCACCTACTCTCTCTTTCCCCAAACCCGGTATCTAACATATTTGAACTTTTTGTTGTCTTAAACATAACCACAATACCATCAACACACCTGAAAAAAAATAACAATTCTTAATTATTATTAAATATCCAGTTTGTATTCAGATTTCTACAATGGTTTCATAAATTGGAATCCTAACAAGATTTATCCGTGGTATTAGACTGAAACATTTCTTACACAAATACACTAGGTTATGCTGTAGTCTCAGACAACTTGAAAACCACAGTGGCTTATAACAATTTGGGTTTATTTCCTGCTCACACGGATTTCCACTGTGAGTCAGCTTCACATCCTCTTCACTCCTGGCCCTGGACTGAAGAAAGAGTCCCTATTTGGGATACACCCACTTCCTGGCAGATGGAAAGGAGGACTGCTTGAAACATACAATGACTTTTAAAACTTCTGGGGAAAGAAAAATACAACAGCTTCTGCTCAGAAGTAGCAACCATCACATTTGCTTACATTTCATTGGTCAAAGCAAATCACATGACCAAAGCTGATATCAATAGGAGAAAGAGAAAGATAATTCTCCCACAACAGAGGACAGCAAATACTGGGAATAATATAATCTCTCATACTTTGTAAATCCCTTTTAATTTATAGGTTCCTCTCCTCATCCTCCCTCCCCTCGATTTACTAGTTGAAGAAATTGAGTTATTTGTGCTATAGAATTTTCTATATTCTGTGGTACACTTGTTTAACGTGTTCCTCTGTTTCATCTAAACCTCTGCTTCTAAACCTGCAGTTAAATATAGAAGCATTATCAGATCCAGGTTCAAATTTTTGACAAGGATGCTTCCTAGGTGGTTCTATTATGTTATGTAAGTTATCTCCTGCTCTGTAACAAATTATCTTCAAACTTGGTGGCTTAAAACAACAATAATCATGTATCATCTCATGGTGTCCGTGGACTAGAAATTTAGACAAGACACAGGGGGATGGCTTGTCTCTGATTTATGATTTCTGAGATGTTAGAAGCTGGGGTCTAGAAGGCTGGAGGACTGAAATCATCTGAAGGTGTGACCGAAGCTCAAAGTTCCTTGGTTTTCAAGTTGGTGTTGGTAAGTTGCTTCTTTTCTATGTGCTTGAGCATCCTCACAACTTGGTGGCTGACTTGCCCCAGAGTGATCGATCCAAAAGACCAGCGCTGGAACAGCAATGTCTTCTATGACCTAGCCTGTGAATTCATACACTGACACTTCCATTGGTCACAAAATCAGCCCCTTTTCAATGTGGGAAATCTATACAAAGGCATGAATACCTAAAAAAGAGGGTCACTGGGGGCCATTCTGTATCAAGTAGCTTTTGATGTTAAAAAAGACAAGTAGAGACAATCTATATCCTGTTCTGTGAGACTGTGGTTTCTAGCACTTGATATTCACAGTCCAGAAGAATTTCAAGGGGGAAAGGCCTAAAAGAAACTATTAGGTCTTTATTTTGCCATGTAACGTCATTCGAAAAAGCAACCTGTTAATTCTGTTATCATTATTTTTTCACTTTTTTTAAAAAAGACCTTTTTTTCATATAGGAATATGTTATCTCAGAATGAAGATTTATCATTTTAGATGTGGAGCAATGAGAACTCGCCTAAACTGTTGGTGGGAATGTACATCGGGAATCCACTTGGAAAACATTTTGTAGTCAAGTTGAGGAGTCACGTGCTCTGTCACTCAACAATTCCACTCCTAGGTGTATTCCCTAAAGATATGTGTACACACACACCAGGAGTCATGTACATGGCAGCATGTTAATAATGGTCCTGAACTGGAAACCAACCAAATGTCCATTAACAGTAGCATACACAAACAAGTTGATGTATATTCATATTGTATGATTTCATATATATAAAGTCCCCAAATAAGCAATACCAAAGTATAGTGCTTTGAGATACATACTTAAATGAAAAAAAACTTTTTTAAAAAGAGCAAAAGTGTTACTGTTATAAAGGTCCACTGTGGTTACCTTTGTGGGGAGGGAGGGTTTTCTGATTGTGAAGAGACACAAGGTAGAGACTGCTGGAGTGCTGGCAATGTCATATTTATCGGCCCTTATAGTAGTTACACAGATACTGCCTTGATAACTCATTAAGCTGCACATTTTATGTTTTTTCTGTTATGTGCAATATTTCACCATAAAAAGAAATTTTTAAAGAGAGAAAAAAATTAGTCTTTTTAATTAAAAATTTTAGCTTTAGGGGAAAGTTTTTTATTTTCAGACTATCTGTTCTTTCTTGGCTCCATCATCCCTCTCCCACCCCTTTCCCCACAGGGAGTGTCAGCAGGATCTCTGCTAGTTCCAGCACTGGCAGCTTCACACTAGAGACTCTCACATGTCCCTGACTCAGTGGAGCAGGGGTGGATGCGGTTACATACACTCACGCGCGCACATACACACATATTTGTGGGGCTTCCTTCCCCATGCTTCAGGAGGAAGAACTTTTGTTCCGCTTCCCACGCTGGTGATAAGAGGGAATAGCCTCTCTTGAAGAACTCTGCGCCCCCCACAAAAGGTCCCCCATTTCTTGCTCCTAGCTTTATGGGCAGGAATGATGATAGAGTTGATGGCCCTTCTGACAGACACTGTCAGCCAGCCTAGCTAGCAGCCCCAGTGCTGGGCAACACCCTAGTCTAAGGAAATGTGCTTAGTGTTGTACCTCTCAGCAGTGGGCCTGAATAACCCATTTTGGTACTGGGCACTTTACACATCCTGTTATACCACTGTTCAGTGCTGGGCAATGCCCTAGTCTAAGGAAATGTGGTGCTTAGTGTTGTAGCTCTCAGCAGTGGGCCTGAATAACCCATTTTAGTACTGGGCACTTTACACATCCTGTTATACCACTGTTAATGGGACATATATTATATGCCAGGGATTGTGCTAGTTGTTTTACATTGTGAACTGCTTTGTAATTTGCAATATTTTATTTCATTTTCCTAACAATCCTTGAAATAGGTAGGAGATATCTAATTATTTCTGCTTTTCAAAGAGGCCATTGAGGCTCCTAAAGTCACTGTAAAAGGCTACCCATACCTTTGAATACTTGCCATACCTCCAACCTCTTGACAGAGAAGTACGCAGGAGTAGTTGCTCAGATGGAGTTTGCTCAATGGTGTCTCTGCCCACCACCCATCCCGGTCAAGAAGTGGTTATCTGACTCAAGAGCAGCCATGCAATAGGGTAGAGATATACATGGGCAACTTTGAGAAACATATCTGCTCAAACAGGAATGATGGCGATTAAGTAGATGATTAGATTATCCTGGGAACATTATGTGAAAAATACAAAGAAGTCGTCGTTATACACAGGAAAAGCTAAAAGACACCAGAGATGAGAAAGTTGTATACAGATACCCTAAGGCAGTTGTAATCATCAATAAACAGGGAGTATGAGTAAGAGTGAACAGAAAACATATCCATTGGATACAAATAGAAGGTGAATTATCTAAATGGCATTGGCAGGAGCATTGAAAGCAAAGATTTCAGGGTACTAAGTACTCATAATGACAAGGAGGCAGTACTCCTGCTGAGTGGGCTTAGTCCAGCCTCTGTAGTTCAGTTCCCTCTCTCTCTCTCTTTTTTTTTTAATTCGAGCAGATGACCAGGCTATAAAGACAAAGATTGAGGAATACTGAGCCTACAGGCAATAAATATTATATCTTATCTGATGACAAGAGGGAAAGCTTTTTTCTAAAGTACTGATGAAAAAGTAGCAGAAAGAAAATAAAGAAGTTAGAGAATCAATCTAGCAAGTCTATCATCTGATTGACAGTATACAGAGAGATCAAAAAAATAATAAGCAGAAAGAAATGGAGTGGAGGAAAGTATCAAAGGAATAATAGAAGAAAAGTCCTCACAACTTGATGCAGTGACTCCTTAGAGGGTAAGGTCCCATAAATACATATGAGTGTTCAGTGAAACAAATGAGACAAACAAAAAGCTGCGGCATGTTTTCACATAATCCCAGAACACCAGGAAAAAAGAAAAAAGCCTAAAAGCTTCAAGAAAAGAAAAAACAGATGACACATAAAGAAATAGATAGAAAAATGACACCAGACTTCTCAACAGCAACACGGGATGCCAGAAGACAGTTTTGAGGGGGAAAAAAAATGTTTACCGATTAATATCCAGCCAAACTGCCAATCAAGCTTGAAGGAAGAATAAAAATATCTTTAGTCATGCAAGGCCTTGAAAGATTTATCTTCCACGTGCCCTTTCTCAGGTAGCCACTAAACGTTCAGCTGCAGCAAAATGATTGAGGAAATCAAGAAAAAAGATGGTATAGAAGCAAACAAACAAACAGAAAAACTGCAAAAAGAAGCCTCAGATAGTGCGGGAAGCCTAGAGAGCAACCAATCCTCATTGACACAGGATGATGGTGGACTTGGAGAGGGTGGTCTTCAGGAAAAATGATGATTACTATATTTGAGAGTTTGGCAGAATCTACATCTTTATGATAATGAGTGTCATCAATCTATTCCTATGTACTTCGTTGTTTTAATTACTATAACTTCATATATGTTTTGATATC